ATATGGCAGATAATGCCAGCCAAATGAATTCAATTAACAATTTGTTAGCAATACTCTCCCAAATGAATAGACAACAAAAAACAGAGAGAGAGCGAGCGAGAGAGGGAGAGAGAAGAGCAAGCATCAATGTGATTAAATCGCATGCGATATTTGGCAATAAAAAACGCAATTCAAATCAATTTAATTGAATTTAATTGCGTTTGCCATTTTTGTACTTTTTGCCGTTTGTGCCATTTTTGCGGCATGGCAAAAGGCAGCAGCAAAACGAGATAAAATATCAATAAATATTTATAGAGCTCTTTGGCCGAGATCCRCGCGACGGCCGCACTTGTATAAACATATTCAAAAACCCATTAGCAATGCGTCGAATGCCGATGTCGACAACAGTTTACACAATAAATTTGTTAGACTAGTTTTTGCGGGGCCCGAAATCCTGCCCAAAATCAAAATGAACAGTGGAAAATTGCAGCCGGCGGTTAGAAATTTGATACTCGACAATGAAAATGGCGGAAAAAACGGGGAGCGGAAAATGAAAATGAAAAGCGAAATTTAGTGCAGCAAGCGAAAAGCATAAATCTCTCTGCAATTGAAAATTGAAAATTGAAATTGGCATCGCAGCGCGGGGCAGCTGTGTGATAAATAACAAATTGCAATCATAAATCTGATGCAGCGAAGTATGCAGAGCGTTTTAATTTCGTTGCAATTAAAGCAAAGGAATGCAGCGAGCCTAAGAGGCGCCAACTGAGAGCATTTAATCAAATCCAGATGGCAATGCAAGCCAAGCCAAGGCGAGGCAAGGCGAGGCGAGGCAAGTCGCTGCTCACATGCGACGCGCGTCAATTTGCGCTCGTTTGGCGAAATGAAATTACGAGACTGTCGCCTCCTGCCGCCTCCTGTTGCCTCCTGCTGCCTCCTGCCACCTCACCAGCAGGTCATGACGGAGCTGGGCCTGGGGCTTGACCCAGTCCATGGACTAATGACATTTGAATGACAGCAGCGACAGAGCCAGTTGCCGTTGCAGTTGCAGTTGCAGTTGCAACTGGCTAATGACCGTCACCGGGCGAGCTGGCTGCAGTGGCTCAATTCGGTGGCTGTCCACGCTGTCACGAACTCCAGCCGCCAGCTGAGATAACAATTGCCACAGTCATGTTGTTGGCGCAGCATTTCATTTGCGCCAGTTTCGACCAGCGCACCTACACAAATATATATATATATACATGTATATATATAGACAGATATATAAATTTATGTAAATATTTCTGGATCCATGCCAAAAGACATGGTTAGCTAGGCCCTTTGTTGGCGGCTCAGCCTTTGCGCTACCTTGTTGTCAGGTGTAAAATGCAAAGTAATGACTTTGAATATGTCTGTTAAGAGGCTGGCAGGCGCAGATCCCAGGCAGACACCTAACTGGCTTTGCGCATTAAGCGGGTCTGGCACGAATTTCCAGTATCTCAGCTAAGCCAAGCGCTTGGCCAGACCTGCAATGCAAGGGCAACGACAGCAGCAGCTTAAGCTGCATTCAAATCTATACAAGTTTTTGGAGAACAGTTACATGAAAAGCGGCTTTTGGGAAACTTTAGAATTGGACGGGGTTAAGGCTCGGACTAGGGTCAGGGGCAAAGAATCTGGAAAGAGCAAGGTGGGGGCTGGCATTAGGTGGCATTCGCATTCGGTTTTCGCATGAGAAGTTAAGCAAAGCCTAAAAACCAAAGAGAATATTGATAGAGAGAGCTGAAGGCTCGCTTTACGTTTTAGTTGAATTATTACCTCAAAGGTTCGCCTTGGGTCTCAGTTATAGAGCTTTGGGGAAGGCGCTTGACTTACGAAGGTTCAATTTACGTCTCAATCCTATTTGTTTCTCTCAAAGTAATTTTACTGGGGCTTCTCTTTTCATATGTATGACATGCTTAATGTCTTCTGGAACCGTCCCAATTTAGTTGCCCATCGCAGATGATTCCGATTGAGCTGGGCTGCCATATAAAACAAATTCGGCTTCCAGACAGAATTTATTAGAATTGATCAGAATTTATTTAATATTTCTTCATATCTTACTTAAATTTTAAGTGAACCAAATTCTGCTTTATTCATTATTATTATGTATTTATTCATATTCTTATAGTTATAGCTTTCATACTTGAAATTCTTATAGTTATTTTACCGATAGTAGCTCATATTCTTATGCCTAGTCACACATTATGCTGGCTCGGAAAGTGCATTGAAGCTGCGACTTGTTAGCCATTTAATTTTTGGCTACGTAATGCAAACATTTCTCAGCCAGCCTGCTCGGGCTACTGCCTTTAGACCTGCTCTCGGCTTTTGTCTGGCACTCAAGTGAAAAGCTTTTGTCAGCGCATGGAAATTTGACGGAAATTGTTTGGTCTGATGGATGCAGATGCTGTTGTTATAGCTGTTGCTGTTGTTGCTGATATGTTTGTTGTTGTTGTTGTTGTTGATGTTGCAAAAAGCCCATCCTCAGTGTGCTTCAGATACCGTTGCCTAATGGTCTCCCTCTCTCTCTCTCTCTCTCTCTATCTCTCTCTCACTCCTTCTCTGTCTGGTCTCGGCCAAGTAAACAGACAGTTTTTAGGCGCATTATGTGTTGTGGCCCCAAACACTGCACATTTCTTGGGCAACGCGAAATCGCAATTTCAATGGAATTAGAGGCCACGATTTGCTGGCAGCCAAGTGGGCTGGCTGCTGCGCAACAAAATAAATGCAAATCGCGCTGAGAGTAAATTTTATTTGGCTCCATCGTCTCCGCAGGATAATGTGCTTAAAATGGCCAACTTTGGCGACAGGTAGCCAGCGAGAGAAAGAGACAGAGAGAGAGAGAGAGAATGCTGTCTGGCAATGATAGAGACAGAGAGATGGGAATGGAGGCTGAACCCGTTGCAGATTTACTGCGGCACGCGCGACTGCCACAATTACGAAGCTAGAAAACACAATCAAAATCAAGTTGAATGCTGAACTTTTTAATGCATAATTTATGGGGGGCTGCGTGGCCTGGCGTTGGCCCAGCCAAGCCCGGGTCAACTCGCGGGTTAAGGCAACGCACCTTTCTTTTGTTGTTACGTCTCGCAGATACACAAATATATCGTTATAAATATCTGTGCGTGTGTGTGTGTGTGTGTTATAAAGAGGGACAGCTGTGGCATGGAGCGCCGCCGTATCATAAATATTTATGAAAGCTGCCAAAAAGTGCAAGGACGTGAGGGCTCCTCAAGACCCACTGCTCAGCACGTGCGCCGTGTGCCAGGCCACGATTCAAACCAATATATCGCATATACATATGCAGATATATGTATGCACATATGTATATTTACTTTCATCAAAAACTCATCTTAAATGCCAACACATGCGGCACATAAATATTGCCCACAACAAGTCTCTCTGTCTCTCTCTCTCTCTCTTCTTCTCCTCTCCCCCTCTCTTTCTACACACGCAATTATTCAATTGTAGCCCTGTGGCAAAACCAATTTGAAACACTTTTGAAAGAGTTTAACGAGTATCAAAACAAAAATCGTAAAATCATAATAAAATGTGGCGAAACGTAGATTGAAATATATCCTTTATGTGCGGCTATAAAGCGCGCTGCTCCAATTTAAACAGAAATTCCTTCATTCTCTGCCTCAGTTCGTAATGCAATATCCGCTTAGCAGGATTCCCTGCAATCCTTCGACTTAAAGCAAAGCCTGCTGCTCTTTAAGCTGGCTCTAATTCCGCACATACTCGTGTTAGCCACACTAAAGTTTCTCATTCGTCTAAGCCAAAAAAGAGAGAGTGGAATGCTGCCAGCCAGGCCAAAACTATCAATTAAACTAATTAGCTTGATTTGCCCGGGCTGAACACGAACTGGCGCAGAAATTCAATCAGCGCATGCAGAAAAACGCAATCAAATGATTAAGTCAATAAATGAAGCCAAATTGTTTGGGCCAAGCTGTAAAAAAATAAAATAAAAATAAAATCAAATAAAGAATAGATTAAATAAAAAAATAATCAATTGAAAGCAAGCAAATAAAAATAAATGAAAAACAAGCTAAAGCATCTGCCCGAATGAAGCTTCGCCTTAAAGTTTTTCCAACTTTTCGCAGAGAGAGAGAGAGAGAGAGATAGAGTTGGAGGCGAGCGAAGGAGCGAGTGAGAGAGGGCAAGGTGAGACTATATATAACTAACATTTTGCGAACAGGTGCAAAAAGAGTGGCCAACTTTTTGACGTCCTAATGAGCGCTGGCCACATTGATTAGCCAAGAGCCCAAGCAGCAGCTGCTAAATGGCCAACAGACTTTTTCTCTCTCTCTCTCTCTCTCTCTCTCTTTCTCCCTCTATATATATTTGGTTCACTTGGCATATTCATGGCATTTGAAAGTCAAATTGAATTGACTGCAGATTGGGCGCACTATCATGCAGTGGGCGTGGCACGTGCCATATGCACAGCATAGATATTGATTTCCTTCGCTCGCCTCTTTGCAGGAAATTTATTTATATTCAATTTGCGAATTTATGCAAGTATTTTCTTCTCGTTTTCTTCATTTTTTCAGGATTCAAGACGTACGGGAAATTCAGTTTTCCGTCAGCTGTCTGCGTGTGTGTGTGTGTGAGTGCGTCGCTTTGTGTTTGCCAACTGTAGCTGAGACTTCGCTAGAAGCGCCGTTGCCTGTGTGCGATAAACCAATTTCTGAGTTAATATTTTCTTCCACAAACTCATAAACACATCAGCGCAGACGTTAGCTGTCTAGCTGTCTGGCTGTCCGTCTGTCCGTCTGTCCGACAGGCAAACCGACCTAATCTGAAGGACTAACGCCTGTACCGGCGACTGTACCCGGCGACTGCATGCGTCCGCCTGGCCTGCCTGACCACCCTAAGAAAATTACCTAAGTAGGTAAGAGCATGGCCCCTATATAAGGCCGGCGCTTGGCTGCATCCTTCACTCAGTCCATGTTTGGTCCTCCGTCGGACAGCCGTCTCGCAACGAAAGCAAACGCTACCGAGAGAATTACCGCACACGTGCTGTGATAGTGCCCAGTGTCTAACCAGTCAGGATGTTGTTTCTGGCACCGCGCAAGCATCTATTTGCCACCAATTTGATAATATTCCTCATGATTTATATCATGCGCAAGTGCCTGCAGTTGTTCTGCATCATCGAGAACAAGGCGTGCCAGCAGCCTGACTGCCGCTGCGAGCCCGGCCAAACGGACTGCCAGGACTCGCCAGTGATGGAGCGACGTGGCGGATTCAAGCTCATACCGGATGCCATGAGGAAGACCATGCACAGCTTTGGCTATGGCGAGGGCCACTATCAGATCTTCGTGGAGAAGAAGGAGCGCAATTTGCCAACCAAATCGCGCCTCAATGCGGCCAACGCTGAACTCAAGCTGAATCCCAATTAGGCGGTCCAGCTTGACAGCCAGCAAAACAGCTCAAGGAGCCCACAAAATGTGCCAACTACAACAGCAACAACAACAACAATAGCAATATCCAACTACAAAAATAACAAACTAAAACAACAACAACAAAATTTGTCAAATGTCTTCTGCCATAAATATGTCTTAATTAATTATAAGCATTCAACAGCATTTCTTTTAATATCGAAGCGCATACTTGGCCATTAATAAAAATTATAAAAGTTAAATCCCGCCACCTCAGGCATTTTGATTGATGTCCTTTTCTTTGTGAAACACACAGCAGAGAAAAAAAGCACAAATTGTGATCTGCAGCACTTATAGCCCCACAATTGGAGGGCACGAAAAGACGCCGCTGGCTGTGCTTGAAAAATTATCTAGCGACTGCGACGACTGTCAGCTGATCGCGTGGGAGTTGCTGCAGCCATTAAATGGCTACAAATTTATCACAAAGTAGCCAAACACACAAGCAGAGAGAAAAAGAGACAGAGAGAGAGATAGAGAGAGAGAGAGAGAGGGAGAGGAAGACAGGGATATAGTTAAACGGCAACAACATTGTCAGGCAATATGTTGAAGTAATTTTTTAATACCCTACCAGAAAGTCGCTTAGAGGTATTTGGATTTTCGTAAGCTATTTGAGGCATAAACAATTTGTGTGTATGCATATGATAGGTTTATAAATAAAATACATACCCGAATTACAAGTGGGCTTAGCTTATGATTATTGAAAAATAATAGATCAGTATAGGTTATTATTATTTGCTTGAATTAGAAATAAGCTTTACCATTTTTTTAACGTATAAGACTAAGCCTATTGTTTGCTTAGCATATAGATTAAAATTATTAAAATTAGTTTGAAGACGTGGTTCAATATGGCAATGTCAATATTAATATCGATTAAAAATACTAGCGTGTCTACAAATATTTGTGAACAATCATTACGATAGTTTCGGTCTATCACTATGCTATCGATCGAATCGATATATATCCATGATATTTTATAAAGATATTAAATTGCTTACCCATATTTTTTAACAATCATATTTTTAAAAGAATGCCTCTTAATATGTATATGGATTTGATATTTTTAATATAGTTATATTTCATAACTTCTATTAATTAATTTTGAATTGGTATATTTAAGATATGACTTATCTATCGATATATATCTTCCGACTAAAAGGAAGACTATCTACACAAAGTTTTTAAACTATTTTTAGAATATCTACTTAAGTTCTTTATCATGTTATTTTTTTTTTTTTTTTTTTTAGACTTATATATTGTACGACTGCTAGTATTTTTTTTTTTTAAGATTTATGTATCTTGCCAGCGTAATGTCTGGTATGCAAAATCTAAAATTATATCTTTAAATTTGAGTTGGACTAAATTAATAATACAGAAGAGGAAAATGCTAATAGCAAAGACTTTGTCACACATCCAGCATTCCATAGCTGGCGTTGCTAATGATTTCAACTGAATGTCAAATTAAAAGTGAAGCACTCTCTAATTTAATTGTGTATTTCATTAGAAACACTTAACTGTGTTTCCCAATGTCATTATAAATGTTGTTGAGAATGAAATACGATTTAATGAAATATCTGAAATACAATAAGAGGAGGAAACGAAAAGTAGACCAATAATTGATATGACAAATACATATAGCAAAAGCTTCTGATATATTAAAAATAATTATAATAATCTAAATTAAAATAATAATACCTGCTCATAGGCTTTCATAGCATAAAGTATATATTTATTGCATTGAAAATGTGTCTTATGACCGACTCAGACACTAAATATGGGATATACAAATAATCCCTGACTTACACAAAATTACATTAGGCACAATCCATACTATTTCATGGAAGTGCCCAGCAGCAATGCCAATAATCTTATTATACACACTTAATTAAGATGCCTAATAATATTATATTACGTATAAATAGATTTATATTCCTCTATGCCCAATCCCATAATTTTCACATTTAAGTCAACTATTCGATGGACTTCATTATATTCAACTTAAGCTGCGCCTAATTAAATTCATTACACCCAAATAGTGCGTAAATGTCACAAATTTGCGTTACATATAATGCCTGACTGTGAGCATCCTTCATGGAAGTGTAGAGCATCCTTGTGTCAGCCTGAGTGTGGCTCGGCCATTTGGCTGGCTTCTATTGTTCCGCTGGCACAGATAGCAGATAGGAGGATAGGAGATAAGAGCGAGCGCGAATGAAGCTGAATGCGCTGCGCCGTTCACTGAGTCTGGCAATTGTTAGCAAATCTATCATCATCTTCTTAAGCACGTGGCATCGAATATATGTGTGTGTGTGGGTGTGGGTGTTGTGCACTTGAAGATATTGTGCAAATTCTGCAGCATTTTGCCTTGCATTATAAATGAACAGAAATTTTTAGTTGTGAGCTATATTTTGCTTGAGCTGCATATAAATTTGCACACACACACACACACAAGCGCACCAGCACACGTACACAGATGTTGACAATGTTGTTGCCTGAGGGCTGTTTGCCTGGCAAGTTGTCATTATAATCATGATTATTATTGTTGTAATTCTAATTATGCATTGCCGTGCGGCGCAACGAGGAGCCCCACATTACACATACGCCATGTCTGACACGCTACGTGGCAGCTTGTGTGTGCCAGTGTGCGTGCGTGTGTGTGTGCTCGTGCGCGTGCTTCATTTTTATCAATGACAGTTTCTCGTTGTGTGCGTCTGCTGTTCATGTGTAAAATGAAAATGTCACTCGGATTAGCGCCAGCAGCGAGCGAGCAGGCAAACTGCCAGCACCAATCTATAGATATATTCCATATATATGTATAGATAGATATGGATATTGCTGTAGGTACACACATTTATATAGCACAGCATAACCTTCTTCTATAACTCGCATCAGCATAAATTTGCTAAGCTCTAATGTAAATCATGTCGACATTGTTGGTCTTAAGCAGCTCTGTTTGGTGGACTCCAGGCTTCGGACTCATTATAATTAACAATTTATAAAGCGTTAATGCACACACATACACGTGCACATGCACATACATATACACTATCGCAGCTAGACGGCAATTTGCCAAGGCAGCTAAAAGAGCATGCTCAGCATCACATCCGCACAAGCAAACAAACAAACAGCTAGTCAGACAGGGGCTGGGCTGGGCTGGAGGAGGGGACGAGGGGGCTGGCGGTGTGAGTAGCATTCATTTTGCTTGTAAGCTGGTTGCCCAACTCATCCTGAATCAGCTCTCCCCCCTCCCCCCTCTCTCCTCGCTCACTCCCCCACTCTCTATTCACTCCTCGCTAACAACACAGCACGGCACGTCGCGCGCATTAAGTAGATGAGCTGCATTTTTCATGCATGCGAAGTTGAGATTGCAGCTGCCGCCACGCCCTATCGCCCACACATACATACTACGATGCAGCCATTTCCTTTAGCCTCTGCTTGACTTTCCCTTTGCTTGTTTTCTGTCCCCTCGCTCCAACTTTGGCTTTCAGCTTTCAACTGCCAACTTGCAGCTTCAAATGTTCTGCTTCTGCATCGGCTTCAGCTTCGACTTCGGCGTCCTTTTTCATCTCATGCCGCTGCCGCATTATCCTACTCATCAGCATCATTTGTATTAATTACCGGGCATTACATAAAGCATTACGTTACATAAAGCATTTCGATAACAATTTATTGGTTTCGATAACTTTTATAGGGTTCGATAACTTCTTATCGGCTTCGACCACTTTTTATCGGTCTCGATATCTATGAAATATTCGGAAATATTTATCACATTTGCTTCAAATTTGAGTTACGGCAGCTGCATGACAAAAGCTGAATGCTACGAGACTCGGCTGAAGGTGCTTAATAAAACTTGTGAAAATATTGATCATAATTTGCTCGTCCAGAAAAGCATAGCCCCATGAATCCCTCTGAAACTGTGGGCCAACTCTTCTAGTGAATGTGACAAAAACAAAACTTGAAATATATGAGTTAAGGCAGCTGCATGACAAAAGCTGAATGCTATGAGACTCAGCATGACAAAAGCTGAATGCTACAAGACTCGATGTAAAGTACATCAATGTCAAAGACTGAAAAATATGAATTCATTGTTCATGAAATATTCATATTCAAATATTCATGAGTGAATCAGTGAATCAGTGAATGCACTGATAATAAATGTTAGATCAGATCTTCTAGCGAATTTATGGCAGAAGCTAAATGCTCAGAGTCTGCATGACAGAAGCTGAATGATATGACACTCGACGGATGGTACATCTATCAAACTTGTAGAAATATTGATCAGAATTTACTCTCTAAATAAAAGGCATAGCCTTATGGAACGTGTGAATAACTGTGCTCAACTACTCTTCTAGGGAATGTAACAATGACAATACTTAAAACTTGAATTAGGGCAGCTACATGACAAAAGCTTAATGCTACGAGACTCTGCATGGCAAAAGCTGAATGCTACGAGACTCGATGTAAGGAGATGTCCTTACAAGACAAGATGTCAAAGACTGAATAACACGAATGCATTGTTCATGAATTAGAAAACATATTCATGATTCACTAATATATAAATGTTGTTAGATTAGATCTTCTAGCGAATTTATGTCAGAAGAAAAGCTGAATGCTACGAGACTCTGCATGACAAAAGCTGAATGCTACGAGACTCGATGTAAGGTACATCAATGTCAAAGATTGAATACTATGAAGCTTGTGTAAGCCCTTAAGCTACATAAAGCATTTTAAATATATAAGTGTAACAATCTATCAACACATTAAGCCATCAGTTTATCAACCAATCAATTTCGATAAGCAATACTCGATTCCGATAACTCCTCGATAATTTATCGATTTCGATAGCTACTTAACGATTTCGCTAACTATTTATCGATTTCGACCTCTGGCACTCTGGCACTGCAATGAGACTGCATTACAGAAGCTGAATGATATGACACTTGATGGGTGGTACATCTATGAAACTTGTGGAATTATTGATCATAATTTGCTTGCCAAATAAAAGGCATAGCAAACTCTATTAAATAC